TGTGTGTGTGTGTCCAGCTCAGCCCACCAGGGGGCGGGGCTGGCTGGCATGTGGTGCTGGGGGATTGATCCGTGGTCCCTGTGCTTTGCTAAGCTTGTTCTAAATAGGTGCTTTAGACCACTGAGCCATCTCACTAGCCCAAGTTAAATTATTCTATAAGCTCTCCTTTTTTTTTGGTACTGGGAATTGAACTCAGGACCTTGTGATACCAGACAGGCGCTTGTGCCACTGAGCTACATTCCCAGCTCAGTTCAATTATTCTAAACCTTGATAAATCAAGATTCATACTATAATGCCTGGAACACTAAATAACTTTAAAAATAGTTCTAAAGAAATCAACAGAGAAATTAAAATGTTACCCTAAAAATTACTTACCACAAAAGAAAGCAGTGAAAGGGAAAACAGAAACCAAAAATTAAAAACAAGACATGGAACAAATAGAACACAAACAGCAAACTGGCCTCTGTGAGTCCTAGCACATCGGCAGCGACACTCGTTGTGACCAGGCGACACCGCACAGTCAAGACAGTCGGCACAGACCAAAGAGCAAGACCCGGCTACCTACCTTGGGTTCAGGGACACAAAGAGAAGGAAGGAAAAGCACACACAAGGCCACGAGTGGCAGCAACAGCCGTGGGAGGGCCAGGGGATGCGTGCTTGTCAGGGAGTGAGGGGCTGTGGATGAGAGGAATCTACAGGCCGAGCTATGCTACGGCGCTAGAAGGGCTGACCAGTTATGCCGGTAGAGTAGTCACCGGCCTCGTGCCTTGGCCTTTACCAAAAGCTTTTGGTAATTCAGGCTGCAGAAACAGAATGCTGTAAGGTGGGGGGGACTTATAGATAAGAGATCTATTTCTTGGGGTTTTGAAGGCTGGGAAGTTGGAGACCAGGGAGCTGGGAAATTTGGTGTCAGGTAAGCACTGCTCTCTGCTTCATAGATGGTGCCTTCTATGCACCGTGTACTCACAGGGTGGAAGGCCCGCCAGCCTCCCTTGGGGCCCAGCCCTCCACACTGGGGATGGAGCCAGGGCCTTCACTTGGAGCCACATCCCCAGCCTTTTGTTCCCCCCTTGGGTTTTCTGAGATAGGGTCTCACTGTACAGTGTGGGCTGGCCTTGAATTCAATATGTAGTCCAGGTCGGTCTCAAACTTGCAGAGATACTCCTGCCTCAGCCTCCAAGTGCTGGGATTACAGTTACCATCACACCAAGACTATATTTATT